AGTACTTTAAACTGTATAAATTACGACTTTGATAAATTGTGTAACCTGTTCTATTTTTAGGTACGTTCCCTCCTGTTACTAACATCTGCACTAGTAAATCTATTTTTAGATTATGGCATCAAAAGCTTTTAACCACTGTATCGCAAAATTTTATTAAGTGATCAAACTTTCATTATTAAGTAAAAAAGATTGGGCTTTAAATTTTACACCTAATCAATCAAACAGGTTAATTTTCAAAAAATTGTCAAATTCCTTGGTTTCTACTTTTGACGCCCCATTTAACATCTCTATACGTACGTAAGTACAGGCAAATGGCGATTCTATTGGGTAGATTAAGTAGTACGAATCACATGGGCGGACAGACAGTCAAAATTTCGCTAATGTGCAGAGAAGGCGAGTCCTCCGCTTCGCTCCGGACAATGACACCGAAGTCCTTTTCACGTTACTGTTACCAGTTCGGATGGGATACGAATAACAAATTTGAAGACGTAAGCTTTATTTATTAAATTTATAAGTACTGTAATTTTGGTGAAAAATTTTTCTGAAATTTCTCTGGTAGGTGTTTAATGAGGTTATTAAGTATCTTGTTAATAAAAGGCCAGATTAGGAACGAGAAAAGCCACCCAACATTTTATCGCTTGGCTTTAAAAAGGTTAATACAAACTGAAAACCTTTAGGTATATTGCATATGAAATATATTTAAATTTTAATTTTCTATAATGGTTGAATGCAAATTGTGCTTAGATACCTGAGAGATAGAGGTGGAATACGAAAATCCATGCGCACATTATATCAGATGTTTACCAGCATTGAAATTGCTTTACTCTAGGTAATTAATGGAAAATAATGACTTCTATAAAGTATACAAGGTAAAATAGGGTGATATGGCGTAGGCTTGGTGAAACCGCAATGCGTTATTTACAAATTATTTAGTTCTAAATTGGATCTTGATTAAATTTATTCATTTCTTAAAATAGGCATTGCAATTAGTGAATTGCATAATCCGAAAGATCATACTTATCTCAAGAAGCTTCTGAAAAAATTTCTTCTCATAAAATCCTTAAAAGAACATTATCAGAAGAAACCTTTATAGAAGAAGGCATGCAAGGAACTTTTGAAAGGACATTATCAGAAGAAACTCTTGTAGAGGAGCTAAATGGCGAGAATTATCAATCAGAAGTAGTGGTAAGTTATATGAATTAGTTTATAGCGATGGTTATATAAGATATTTATAAATAACATTCTATGGTTACATGCCATTTATTGGATTAATAGTATCAATTCTGAGTAGCCAAAAAAAAGGGCATTAGATGATTCCGATTCACAATCTGAAGAAATTTTTAAAGCCACCAAATGCAATAATAATGATAGTATTAGAACTCTCCAGAAAACAAATATTTCATACTGATTTTTAGAAGTAAATTCAAAAGGAGGTAAAAGATCTTATATTTAACAGGTCCAAGATGTTTTTCTGCTCCAAAACTCACAATGCTAATGGTTCTGTCTGGCCAGGACTGCCTAAACATCGTAAGTAATTAAAAAAAAAGTGGATAACTTTACCTAATATTTTATTGATTATATAAATATTAATATCTTTACAGATATTTTAAATATTACAAAGGTCTCGACAGACGTTATTCGACACGTTTTGCCAAAGTAATTTGAACTTTGTAACGTGTTTGATATTAATAATAATGGTTTCTTAAGCTCAATCAAAATCCTGGTATATGTAAAACGACAAAGTACGTTCGGTGTAGTACTTAAGCTTGTTTTTTAATTGTAGTTACCCTATGTATTTTAATATTTTAAATCTGTTATTTAGAGGAGAAAAAGGTTCAGAAAGTTCAGGACTGCGTAAACAGTTGCAAAAGCAACAAGAGAGACTATATTATAGTAAAGCAGATTCGAGAGCCGAAAGTTGGCACACTATCAACGTTCGACGCCCGGATCAT